TTAAACTATTCACTGATGAAGACCAAAGATCTTAGGTATGGGTTGCACCTTAGGTATGGGTTGTACCTCAATGTAAAGAAAACAAAACCCTCATCACAGAACCAATAAATAACAACTATGTAAGTGGAGAAAAGATTGAAGTTGTCAAAGACTTCATTTTGCTCAGATCAACCATCAGCTCTCATAGAAGTAATAGTCAAGAAATCAAAGGATGTATTGCATTGGTCAAATCTGAGGCATAAGACCTCTTTAAAGTTTTGAAGAGCAAAGATGTCAATTTGAGGACTTAGATGTGCCTGATCCAAGCCAAGGTATTTTCAGTAACCTCATATGCATGTGAGATATGGACAGTGTACAAGGAAGACTATAGAACAATTGATGCATTTGAATTATGGTGTTAGAGGAGAATATTGAAAGTACCGTGGACTGCCAAAAGAACAAACAGATCTGTGTTGGAAGAAGTACAATCATAATGCTCCTTGGAAGTCAGGATGGCCACACATCATCTCTCATACTTTGGATATATTATCAGAAGGGACCAGTCCCTGGAGAAGGACATCATGTTGGTAAAGTGGAGGGTTGAAGAAAAAGAAGACCCCCGATGAGGTGGCTTGGCACAATGGCGGCAGCAATGGGCTCAGGTGTGATAAGGATTGTGAGGTTGGCATGGGCCCAGGCAGTGTTTCATTTTGTTGTATTCCGGGTCCCTATGAGTTGGTATCAAGTTGATGGCAACTAACAACAACAGCAACAAGTCTTGAGTTTTGGTAGATTAATCATATCTTAGATTGCTGCAATCTGGAAAGTGTTGTTAGGTGCCATCAAGTTGGTACCAACTCATAGCAACCCTATGCACGAAAGAACGAAACACTGCCTGGTCCTGGTCCAAACTCACAATTGTTGCAACACTTGATCCCATTGATGCTGCCATATTGCCAATCCATCTTGCTGGGGGTCTTCCTCTTTTTCTCTGACCCTCCACCTTACCAAACATGATATCCTTTTCCAGTGACTGGTCCCTCCCGACAATATGTCTGAAGTATGAAAGACGAAGTTTGGCCATTCTGGCCTCCAAGGAGCACTCTGGCTGTACTTCTTCCAGCACAGATCTAGTTATTCTTTTGGCAGCCCATGACACTTTCAATATTCACCTCCAACACCATAACTCAAAAGCATCAATTCTTCTATGATCTTCCTTATTTACTGTTCAGTTTTCGCATGCATATGAGGTTATTGAAACACCATGGCTTGGGTCAGGTGCACATTCGTCTTCAAGCTGACATCTTTGCTCTTCAGCACTTCGCAATGTTGTCCATAGCTTGTCATGATCCACACAATCAAAAGCCTTTGTGTTGTCAGTAAAGCACAGGTAAACATCTTTCTGATATTCTCTGCTTTTAGCCAAGATACATCAGACATCAGCAATGATATCCTTCATTCCACGCCATCTTCTGAATCCAGCTTGAACCTCTGGAAGTTCTCTGTCAATGTAGGCTTGCGGACATTTCTGTATTACCTTTAGTAAAACCTTACTTGCATTGAATATCAAATATATTGTCCGATGATTTCTGCATGCCATTGGGTCACCTGTCTTTGGAATGGGCCCAATCAGTTGGCCAGATAGCTGTCTTCCAAAATTTTTGGCATAGATGAGTGAATACCTCCAGTGCCACTTCACTTTTTTGAAAGATTTCAATTTTTATTCCATCCTGGTGCCTTATTCTTCGCCAATTCCTTCAATGCACGTTGGACTTCTTCCTTCAGTATCATTGGCTCTTGATCATATGCTACCTCTTGAAACGGTTGAACATCAACCATTTCCCTTTGGTACAGTGACTCTGTGTATTCTTTCCATCTTATTTTGATGCTTTCTGCATCATTCAATAAATTTCCTAGAGAATCCTTCAATAACAAAAGTTGAGGCTTGAATTTTTTCTTCAGTTCCCCAGCTTGAGAAATGCTGAATGTGTTCTTCCTTTTTGGTTTTCTGATTCCAGATCTTCACACATTTTGTTGTAATATTTGACTTTGTCTTCTTGAGCTGACCTTTGAAATTTTCTGTTCAGCTCTTATACCTCCTCATTTCTTCCATTTGCTTTAGCATCTCTACACTGGAGAGCAAGTTTCAGTGTCACATCCATTTTTATCTTTTCCTTTTTTCTTGTCTTCTCAATGATTTATTGTTTTCTTCATGTATGATGTTTTTGATGTCATCCCACAACTCTTCTGGTCTTCAGTCTTTAGTGTTTAATGTATCAAATCTGTTCTTCAGATGATCTCTCAATTCAGTGGGATACATTTAAGGTCATATTTTGACTTTCATGGACTTGTTTTCATTTTCTTCAGCTTAAATTTGAATTTGCATATGAGCAATTGATGGTCTGTTTCACAATCTGCCCCTGGCCTTGTTTTGACTGATAATATGGAACTTTTCCATCTTCTCTTTCCACATATATAGTCAATTGATTTCTGTGTATTCCATCTGGTGAGGCCCATGTGTGTAATCATCTCTTATGCTGTCTAAAGAAGGTATTTGAAATGAACAAGTCATTGATTTTGCAGAATTCTATCCTATGATCTCCAGCATCATTTCTATCACCAGGCCATATTTTCCAGCTACTGATCCTTCCTCTTTGTTTCCAACCTTTGCATTCCATTCACCAGTAATGATCAATACATACCTGTTGCTAAATGCCCCACAATGTCTTTTGGATATGTTTTTGAAACAGCCCTGTCAGAAAGATTGTATTTTGCTTCCTTTGGAAATGTTGTTAAGTGATGTCAAGTTGATTCCAACTCACAGTGACCCTGTATATGGTTTCTGAGGAGCTTCTGGTGAATTCGAACCACTGACCTTGTGGTTCAAATTGATCTTGTGGGCCAGTGCATTATCCCACAATGCCATATGAGGAAGTGTGGTGGAGGATAATTTCTTAATGCACAAACATTGTGTATCATAATGTACAAGTCTGACTATTGTAATCATACTAGAAGAAAAGTTTTTCCACATGTGTTGCTGTGGCTTATGAAACAGGTTTCTAGGAAATAAGCAACAGTGTAGAAACATGGGTTTTTAATGTTTAATTCTTTTTTTTTTTTAAGGTTAAAATTATCATTTTTTAAAATGTTTTATTGTGTATTGAGTAATAGTTTACATGGGGGAACATTAGTTTTTACATTCATTCTATCCTATATTGTTTCATTGCCTTAGTTACCATCCCGTCCGTGCATCATCCCCCAACGAAAAAGGGTATACCTTGCATATCCCCCCCACCCCCACGGTCCTCAGCACCCAGCCCCTTTCCCTCTCTGGGTCTCAACTCCCCAGGCACTCCATCTCTTCACGTCATCCTCTCTGTCTTCATCTCAGGCCTCATTGCTTCTCTGGGTGGGGTCCCGCTCTCCACTCTTCTCCACTGATGGTCCCAGGGCCCTTAATGTTTAATTCTTAATGCTCATTGCTTTCCAGATGATTGGTAGAACTAACATTGATATCGATCTCCCTGGAGGGAGGGATTAATTTGATCTTATTCATCTTTGTATTCTGCATTATGCCTAATAGTGACCATGACATTATGAAATTTCAATTATGATACAAACAGTTGAATCAGTGATAGAAGTGAAATTAGCTTTGTGGGACAAAATGGTTCAGTTTGGTCCTTGATTCTGGGTTCTGAAAATAAAGTAGTCAAGATACATTATTTTCCATGCATATCCCTGGGAACAGTGGACGTGCTGTGCTGAGATCCCTCCATACCTTTCCTGATATGTCTGTATGCTTTATCATTTCTGGCTATAATAAAAGGGTAATTTTATAGATAATAGCTTTAATAAATTTAGTAAATTATTCTAGCAGATTATTGAACCCATAGTGTGGCGTGGGAGCATAGTAGAACCAATGGAGAGGCTGCATTTGCCTATTTGGCAGGGGCCTGGAAGGATAGAGTCTTAACGTGTTGAGATCCAAATTTAAGTATTAGGGTCTGAAAAAGAGAGTGCCATGTGGGTGGCTGGTATCAGAATAATGAAATGGGAAAGGGGCTGTGCGTCATCTTCACATTTTGGAGAATAGCCGTTTGTCCGCTAGTATTCTTACAGGGATTCAAATAATTACTACAAAAGCCATTCCTAAAAAGAAATCTTTCAGAAGGATAATTTCTTCTTGAATAGATCAGATATAAATGAGATAGTATTGTTAGTTAGGCAATTTAATTGCAATAATTGACTGTCATTTAACTTGCACATGGACAGATATCAGAAGATCTGGGTCTAACTCTGACCATTTGGATGGTTGTCAGCATGTTAGTAGATCTCAGTTTCCTCCTCTACATAATAAAAGATTACACCAGTTTGATGTGTAAAATCATTTTTACATTTTACTCTTCTGATTCTGTTGTTGTTAAGTGCCGTCGAGTCGGTTCCAACCCATAGCAACCCTGTACAGGGTTTCCAAAGCTGTAAATCTTTACGGGAGCGGAAAACCTCATCTTTCTCTCACAGAGCGGCTGGTAGTTTCGAACTTCTGACCTTGCAGTTCACAGCCCGATTTGTAACCACTACACTACCAGAGTTAGGACCTCAATATTCAATAGGACTGCAATATCCTCTGATAACAGTCATCTTTAGAATGTACCTCAGTTTTCTTTACATATTCCTATCCTGGTTTTTGGAGTGTTGGTGTGGCACTGTAGGATAAGCACTGGACCACAAGGTTAGTTTGAACCACAAGGAAGGGCCATTCAAACCCACTAGTCTCTCCTTGGAAATCCTATACAGGGCCGCTATGACTAGAAATGTACTCTGCGGCACTTATCAACAACAATATACTGGTTTTACTGTATTCCAGTAAGACAGCCCTGTAAGACCTATGTGCTATGGTTTTCAAAACAATATCATTCCAGTTGCATAATTAATGTTAAATTGAGGTAGAGATTTGTTTGGTTGGGCATAAAGAGATTTATTGTATGTGTTGTTTCTGTTGTTTGTATCTTTGTCTTCAGTACTTGGATCATGAGACTGCTTCTGCTACGTTCATCGACAGCAGTGGACAACTTCTTTCCTCCCAGGTGACAGGAGTTAGCCGGAATCCCTACTGTGGCTATGAGCACCAGACCCTGTCCATCCGGGAGCGTGTGGAGGAGGACTCCTTGCTGGCGTCCTTACAGAGGCAGGTGCCTGACATGGGCCCAGTCCCCTTTGTTAAGAGCACTGACCCTTCTTCCAGCTACTTTGTCATCTTGAACTCTGCAGCCTTCTTCAAGGTGGGGAGCCAACTGGAGGTGATGGTTCATGTACAGGATTTTCAAAGACAGCCCAAAAAGTATGGTGGAGACTACCTGCAGGCCAGAATCCACTCTCCCAGCCTGCAGGCAGGGGCTGTGGGCAGAGTGGTAGACTACCAGAATGGGTTTTACAAGGTCTTTTTCAATCTACTCTGGCCAGGCCAAGTTAAAGTGTCTGTGTCTCTTGTCCACCCCAGTGAAGGAATCAAAGTTCTTCAGCACCTACAGCAGGAGAAACCAGACAGGGTCTATTTTAAGAGTCTATTCCGTTCAGGAAGAATTTCTGAAACGACTGAGTGCAACCTTTGCCTCCCTGAGGGCCTGCCCCTATGTAACTTCACAGATCTTTACACTGGGGAACCCTGGTTCTGCTTCAAACCAAAGAAGCTCCCTTGCAGCAGCAGAATTAACCATTTCAAAGGTGGATACCTGAAGGGCCTCCTAACTTCCACAGAGAGTGCTTTCTTTCAGAGGTATGTGCATCTGATTCTAGGGGGCAACTGACAGAGATCTTTCCTTGCCCCACTTAGGAGACGCTTTCTTGTGTCGGTTATGTGTTCCTGATAGCTTTCTAAACTCAGTCTAATTCAGGAAAAGTGGTGTGTAAGAAAATAAATACAGATTGATATTTTGCAATTAGTTTTATAATAACTTTGTATGGGCTGAAATGTAACAATTTTAAGGATGGTGCAGGACTGGGCAGTGTTTCGTTCTGCTGTGCATAAGGTTTTTATGAGTAGGAATAGCCTTGACGGCACCTAACAACAACAGTAGTTTACTGTAAGTGAAGCATGCATGTCCAAGTTCACATGAAAGAACATTTACTTTTCAATTCTTGGTTTTCACTTCGTATCTGTGTTTTACTTCAGAACTGAATATACAGCGTACCTATGAGCAAGATAACTTATTCACAGAACAGAGTAGGACCATGAGTCCTGTGCTTTGATTCTATTAGGATTTTTATTTTCCTTCAGAGCTGTATGGAATGTTGAACACAAATTTTCATTTGTGTTAATAAAATAAATTGTTTAAATGATACAATACCAGTTTTTAAAGTTATATAAAGGAGTATCAGCACAAACTGTATTTTTAAAAAAACTTAACAATTGTTTAAATCATTGCAGTGTTGTGTCCTAATTGCTGTTTAGAACCCAGGCCTAAAACATTTGAACATAATGATCAATATATGGAATAATGTACAGGATGGAATAAATGGAATCTGTACGAATTAAACTTTGTGTTCAAGATTTCATACAGTTCTGAAGTAAATTTAAAGTCATAAAAAATGAAAAAGAAATGAGAGCTATAAGCTGTAGTATGCAAATCTTTATTTGAAAGCATATATAAATGCTTAAATTTTTTTTTCAATTAAATAAATACTTTTTGAACATTTGCGGGCAGAGAAGTATTTTTGTTGAGTACATCTGGACACCCTAGACAATTTAATGTTTTGTGTCTGTTAAATTCTTGACTGGGGAAGAGTTGGTACCATAATGCATGTGGTTTATACTGAAACCCCCGACCAAACCCACTGCCAATGAGTTGGCCTCCGTAAGACAGAGGAGAACCGCTCCTTTGGGTTTCCAAGGCTGTACTTTCCATTTCCGAGACTATAAATCTTTTATTTTTTTCAAGTTTTTAAACTTTTTTATTCTTTTTTTACTGTAATAATAAATATACATCAAAATATTTACCATTTCAAACATTTTCCCATGTATAATCTAGCCACACAGACTGTATCCCCATGTTGTATAACCATCACTGCTATCCGTTTCCAAATAGCTTTTTGTCTCTTTCCATTATTTATATTTTCCCATTCTTCCCTTTCCTTTTTTTTTCATTTGTGGGAAAGTTCCCAACGGAATGTCCTCATGAGAAAATAAACATATGTTGTTTCCCTTCCAGTACCAAGACTGTAGATCTTTATGGGAATAGACCATGGAACAGCTGGTGGGTTTGAACTGCTGACCTTGTGGTTAGTAGCCCAACACTTAACCCACTATGCCACCATGGCTTAAATCCTTTAATTTTTCCTTGTGGAATTATCTTTTGGTTTTATCAGATTAAATGTAATAGGTACCTATGGTGGGCTCATGCTATGCTTTTAAAAGTCCAGCAGAGGGAGCACTACTTATATTTACTGAACCATGATTGCCTACGATTATGTATGACAAAATAATTTTTCTTTTCTTTTTCTTTTTATATCAGTGACTGTGGACACATTATTTTATTTATGTGCATGTTTTGCTTATGTGTGAAAGCTACTCAGTTATCTCCTGAAATTAGATTTGTGTTGTCAATGTACTTAGTGTCCTTGCAAAGGTGAGGAAATGAAGCTTATATAATTTCCTCAAATTCCATGTGGATAAAAGTGGTTGAAAGGTTAGAGAGTGAGATTATTAAAAAATTTAAAAATATGCCTGGTAACAAATCCTACCATTTAAATGGGTGAATAATGTTTTTGTTTCTGCCCTAACCTGGATAAGCTGGGTGAAACTGGCAGGTAGAATCATTACAAAATCCTCCTCACTTGGGAACTTGCTGAGACAACAGTGTTTGGGACAGTATGTTCGTTTAGAAATGAAAAATGTGGCTTTCTTGATAGTGATTTTATTTTTTGTTTTGTTAAAGTTCTAAAGTATTGCACCAGACCATATGAAAAGAATACTAGAAAGATTAAAATTGATCTTTCAAGGAATCTTTGGGTTTATTGTTTTGAGTTCCTGATCTGAACATATTGATGAGTTATACCCACTTTTACTTTTTCCTCACAAGATTATTTCAGCAGCTTGGCCTTGATCTTGGGTTCCCTAATGAAGTTGTACAGTTAAGGCAATTGTAATCTTTGTTCTTTACCTGTAAGGAAAAAAGTGTTGGTTTTTCATTAAAAACCCACTTCTCACTAGTTGATTCCGACTCATAGGGACCCTATAGGACAGAGTAAAACTGCCCCATAGAACTTCTAAAGCTGTAAATCTTTATAGAAGAAGACTGCCTCAGCTTTCTCCCAAGGAGTTCCTAGTGGGTTTGAACTGCTGACCTTCCAGTTAGCAGCCCAACACTAAGGGTTCCATGGACAATAATTTGCTTTTAAAAATCCTTTTATTGTGAGGAAATGCCTTTTGAAATAACGAACGTATCACATAAAAACTTTTTATTTCGGCATGACTTATGCTTACAATCATTTTGATCAGTGTTTTTTACATTGGGTGCCAAGAAATTGAAGGGAACAGTGAGGGGTTTATTAATATGTTGTTATTGTTAACTGCTGTCAAGTCAATTCCAACCTGTAGCAACCTTGTATAGGGTTTCTGAAGAGTAGCTGGTGAGCTTCTTGAACTGCTGACCTTGCAGCTCAAATGCTTTGCAGTCTGTGCATTAACCCACAGAGCCACACGAGGACTCCTTTAGTAGTGCCCTATTCTGTTGGTTAATCTAGGGCTCCCTTCCCTGCCAACACCTCTTTTCATGACATCATCCATTTCTGTCATTACCTGTTCTTTCTGTTTTTTTTTTTTCTTTCTTTCTTTTTATAAAAAACTGTGTATTCTGAAAAACTTCAGATCTTTAGAAACATTGTAAAAATAATAGCAGTGTACACTCAAATACCTTCAACCTAAATTCATCATCATCAATGTTTTGCCACATTTGCTTTTTCTTTCTGTGTGTACAATATTTTTTTCTCTGAGCTATGTGAGAGTAAATTGTACCTGATCTATGTAAGAGTAAGTTGTAGACATCGTGGCAGTTTACCCATAAATACTAAATATACATCTAAGAATATCTCATTGAATTTAGAGACCGTCTCAATAGGTTGACACATTAGACACTAATGACCAAAGATCAGAGGAGTTGTGGGGTGACATCAGGAAAGTAAAAAGTTATTAAAAACTAAAGAAAGAAAAGATCAAAGTGGATATCAAAAGAGACCCTGAAATTTGTTTTTAAACATAAGAATGGAGTCTTGGTGTGGTGCCTTAGGATAAACAATGGACTGTTAACCACAAGGTCAGCAGTTCAAACCCCTCGCAGCTGTTCCTCAGAAACCCTATACAGGATCGTTATGAGTCGGAACTAACCGAATGACACACAACAACAGCAGCGAGGAGTAAGAATAGGTGAAAAAGAGCATTTCAAGATTATCTTGAAGTAGAATGCTGTCTGTGATCGTATACTGTGTCCTGGTAGGATAAGCACTGTACTGCTTACAACAAGGTTGGTGATTCAAACCCACCAGCTGCTCCTTGGGAATCCTATACAGAGTCTTTATGAATTGGAACTGACTCAATGGCATTTAACAAGAAGAAAGTCAAGTTAATCTAATTAATATTGAAATTTATGTGCCAACTAATAAAACCAGTGAAGAAGAATTTGAAGAATTCTACCAGTACCAGTGTCTTTAAGGAGCTCTGGTAGCGTAGTGGTTACAAATCGGGCTGTGAACTGCAAGGTCAGCAGTTTAAAACTACTAGCTGTTCCGTGGGAGAAAGATGTGGCTTTCTGCTCCTGTAAAGATTTATAGCCTCGGAAACCCTATACAGGGTCGCTATGAGTCGGAACCGATTCCATGGCACACAACAACAACAACAACCAGTGTCTTTAGTCTGAACTTGATCAAACATGTAATCAAGATATTTGATAATCATTGGCAACTGAGAATATAGTCTTGATGATAGAAACAGTGTTGGAGATCACCTGACAGAATTTTGCAAGACCAATGACTTAATCATTGCAAATACCTTTTTCAACAACGTAAACAGCAACTGTATACATGGACCTCACCAAATGAATACACAGGAATCAAATAGACTACATCTGCAGAAAGACGATGGAGAAACTCAGTATCATCAGTCAAAACAAGGCCAGGGCAGACTGTGGAACAGACCATCCATTGCTCATATGCTAGTTCACACTGAAGCTGAAGAAAATTAAAACAAGTCCACAAGAGCCAAAAAAGGACTGTGAGTATATTTCCTTAAATTTAGAGACCATCTCAAGAATAACTTAGACGCATTAGACATTAATGGCCAAAGACCAAAGGAGTTGTGGGATGATATCAAGAACATCATATGCGAGGAAAGCAAAATATTATTAAAAAACAGGGGGGGTGGGACCGGAAGACAGGAAAGAAAAGACCAAATTGGATATTAGAAGAGACTCTGAAATTTGCTCTTGAACATAGAGAAGCTATAATGAAGGGAAGAAATGATGAAGAAAAAGAGCTGAACATAAAATTTACTTTAGCTTAATAAGACAAAGTAAAATATTCTAATGAAATGTACAAAGACCTGGAGCCAGAAAACAGAAGGGAACAGCACACTCAGCATTTCTCAAACCGAAAGAACTCAAGTAAAAAATCAAGCCTCTGGTTGTAATATTGAAGGATTATATGGGCAAAATATTGAATGACGCAGGAAGCATCAAAAGAAGATGGAAGGAGTACATAGAGTCACTATACCAAAAAGAATTAGTCTATTTATGTTCAGCCATTTCAAGAATAAATAGTATTGAAGGAAGAAGTCCAAAGTACACTAAAGACATTGGCGAAAAGCAAGGTGCCAGTAATCGATGGAATACAGATTGAAATGTTTCAACAAACGGATGCAACACTGAAGGCACTCACTCATCTGTGCCAAGAAATTTGGAAGCCAGTTACCTGGTCAACAGATTGGAAGAACTCCTGATGAGTTGGAACTATGAGTTGGAACTGACTTGACCATGACTAATAATAACAGCAGTAAGAATAAGATAAGGGGTTTTGGTGGTGTCATTTCCTACACACTGGGCTGGCTGCTAACCATAAGGGCAGCAGTTTGAATTCAGCAGCTCTTCCTAGGGAGGATGAGGTTTTTTTGCTAACATAAGAGTCTTTATGAGTTGGAATCAACTCAGTGGCAGTGGGTTAAGAATAAAATCAGGACTTGTACATTTGGGACATTTATTATTGAAACAGTTCTGTTATTTAATATGCAGTCTGTGTCCTGGTGTGACGCTGTAGGATTAGTACGGGACTGCAAGGTCAGCAGTTCAAACTCATGAGTCGTTCCTCAGAAACCCTATAGTAGATGGCACTTACCAGCAATTCTCTTTTCTTCAGTTGTCCCAATAATACCTTGTAAAGCCACTTTTAAAATTTTAATTTAGGTTCTAATTGATGATCACACAATATGTTTTATCATCTTCTTAATCGCCTTTAACCCAGGACAGTTGTCAAATTTATTTCTTTTTTCATGACATTGGCATTGGTTTGCTTGAATTTTTAGGTTTGTTTTTCTTCATACAACTAGATTCAGATTAAACATTTTTTTCAGAAAAACTATAGGATGAAGTTTTCTTCTTTTCTTTACCTTAGAGGTCTAAAAGTAAAGTAGATTTCTGTATTCTCTTAAAAGCCATGTTCTCTTTTTAAATGTCACCCTGTCTAAATTAAGAAATTCTGTTACTCTCTACACTTCTCTGTTTTTCTTAGCTATCTTCCCATTAGAATGCCAATTCCACAAAAGGAGCGATGCTGTGTGTTTGGTTTTACATCCCTCTTTTTGTTGTTGTTAAGTGCCACTGAGTAGTGTCTGACTCATAGCGACCCTGTATAGGGTTTCTGAGGAGAGACTGGTGAGTTTGAACTGCCGACCTTATAGTCCAGTGCTCACCTTATAGGGCCACACCAGGACTTCTTTATATCCCTAGCATAGGACAATGTATGGCACATAGTAGGTGCTGAAGAATTGTTTGTTGAATGAATGAGTGAATTTCTTCTGAGACTGAGGAAATATAAGAAGCCATGACATCAATTCTTGTATCAATAATTTGGAAAGTTAACATTTTTTTTTGGTTTGTTTTTGGTTGAAGTCTATAGGTAAGCATTGTAATTATAATCCAGTTACTACTATAATCAGTTTCTCCCCTCATTTTTCATTCAGCCTCTTCTTCAAATATTTATGGAGTGCCTACTCTAGTTCAGGTTTTGTGTTAAGTGCTAAAAATACAAAGGTGAATGTGGTACAGTCTGTGTCTTCGAGGCGTAGATTTTCACTCAGGAGGACATAGAATAAAAAGTCGTGGTAATGACCAACAGAGTGCTGCAGGAGCACATCTAGGCCAGGTGTTCCCAGTGGGACTCACCTGAGATCAGGCAGGATCTAAGAAATCTCATATTTGACATAATATTGCTTAGACTTGTAATGAGAAGACAAAGTATTTATAAAATGGACATTCTGGCCAGTGTGAACCATTCTCTAGTCCAAGGGTAATAAGTATTTCAGTGAGCAGGGCTGGTGGTGCAGAGGTTAAAGACTTTTGGCTGCTAATCAATAGGTCAGCAGTTCAAACCTACTAGTTATTCTGTGGGAAAAAGATGCAGTTTATTTCCATAAAGATTTATAGCCTTGAAAACCATATAGAATAGTTCTACCCTGTTCTGCAGGATCACTATAACTTGAAATTGACTCTACAGCAATGGGTTTAATTTGGATTTTGGTTAAATAGTTCAAACCAGTTACTGGTTATTTTTGAATTTATAGTCTTAGGATGGGCTAAGTAGTAGCTGTTAAGTTGTTGTTAAGTGCTGTCAAGTCTGCTCTGACTCATAGTGACCCTGTCTAGGGTTTTTAAAGAGTGGCTGGTGAGTTTGAACTGATGCCCTTTTGGTTCAAACTGACCTTGTGTTCCAGGGCTTTATCCTACAGCACTACACCAGGACTCCCCAGCTGTATATGTATGTAAATTGAACAGAAATTAAATAGGTCTTTAATACTTTTTCACAAATAGTAGTCAGTGTGAAAAAGTATTAAAGACCTATTTAACTCCTGTTCTCTCTCTCTGTCTCTGTCTCTCTCTCTCTATGTATATATATACATATACACACACACACACACACACATATATATATATATATATATATGAGTCCTGCAAGGTCAGCAGTTCAAGATCACCAGCTGATCCTTGGAAACCCTATACAGGGTCGCTATGGGTCAGAATTGACTCAACAACACTTAACAGCAACATATACATACATACACATAACCTGCTTATTACAAGAGATCTATGTTATTAATTGGAGTCCTGGTGCAGCACTGTAGGATAAGAACTGGACCATAAAGTTAGTTTGAACCACAAGGTCAGCGGTTCAAATTTACCAGCCATACCTCGGAAACCCTATATAGGGTTGCTGTAAGTCGAATTGACTTAGCAACGACAAAGGTTACTAATTAATTATTGTGTTGGTTAACATTTAAAAGTACAGTAAAATCTGAGAAAGCCAGAACCTGTATAAGGGCGAACCCTGTCAGAGAAAGAAAACTCAAACATTTTTCATTAAAACGAATATTAGAGAAGTGGCCAGACTGCCCCTGTGAAAGGTGGAAAACTTGTGAGACCTGGAAAAACAAGGCAGTCTTACTGAGGTCTGGTTCTCCCAGGTTTCACTGTCTTGTTACTGTTAGTAACGCTCTTTGAAATTATACGCATTTTTTCATTTGCAAATAAAGATACATAACTGAAAATAAATGTTCCTAAATCTAAGCTTGTGTTATTTTTATTCCTTTTAAAGTGGTGTCAATATCAAAATGCCAATCAACTCCAGTGGACCTGATTGGGTGACTGTGGTTCCCAGGAGAATGAAAGGTAAAAAGACATGAACTTGATGACTTGTTGTTTTTTCTTTTTGTTAAGTGGTATGAAGAGGCACTGTAGTTTCCCTAATGCTACAGAAACAGTTTTTCCTTTAATATGCCATAATTACTTCTGGGCATAATTGAAAACACTGAAAAAAAAACTTTGTTGTTGTTGTTTTTAGTTAAAAATGATCTTGATATACTTAAAATCCCATGAAAGAATTATTTGATGAAAAAGCAAGCAAGCTAGAATTAGACCTTGCTATGACTTGAATTGTGCCCCCAAATATGTACATGGTTATGGGTTTTGTTATTTATGCTAATATGAAAGTTCTCTGTTATTTCAACCTCCTCTGGTCCCTGTGGAGTCCAGTATATTGGCTAGCTAAATTAAAATTAAATGAAATAAAAATTCACTTCTTCTGTCACACTAGTAACGCTTCATGTGCTTCACATGTGGTCACTGGCTGCCATATTGAACAATATTTGATATAGAATGTGTCTATCATCACAGAACATTTAGTTAAGATATTGCTGTTCTAGAGATAGTTAGCAAATGTGTGAGAAACTGTCTTGAAAACGTGTTAAACAGAAAAGTACTAGGTTAGTGAATAACAGTTGCACTTCAAGAGTGGTCCCCGACCAGCAGCATTAGCATTACCAGGGAACTTCCTGAAATTGCTAATTCTTAGGGCCCCACATCAGCCTACTGAATCTGAAACTTTGGGGGTGGGGAGTGCCTTTGTTTTAGCAAAAGTTTTCAGTGATTGTCGTTCCTTAGTGTAGGATATTGTTAACAATAAAAGAATGCAATTGAGAAGTTTAAATTATTTGGTACAGTGGTTAAGCATTTGATTGATAACCAGTTTGAACCCATCAGCTGCTCCATGGGAGAAAGATGTGGCAGTCTGCTTCTGTAAAGACTTGCAGCCTTGGAAACATGTTGGGACAGTTCTACTCTGTCTGACAGGGTCCCTAAGAGTTGGAATTGACTCAATGGGAACTGCTTTGGTTTGGGACCTGACCTATAAAGAAACCCCACTGAGGGAGAAAGATGTGGCAGTTTACTTCCATAAAGATTACAGCCTAAGAAACTGTGCAGGGCAGTCCTATTCTATTATATAGGGTGACAGTATATCAAAACCAACTTAGTGTCACACAATAACAACAACAGATGATGTATTTTGTTTTTGTGGACTAGATATTAGTAGATATAGTGATTTTTCAAAAGAAAGGCTGAACATTATTAAGGAAACTTCTATAGCTGGTTGGAGTCATGGTGTGGCACTGAGATGAAGCACTGGCCCACAAGGTTGGTTTGAACTACAAGGCTGCTGGTTCAAACTCACCAGCCGCTCCTTGGAAACCCAGTACAAGGTCACTGTGAATTGGAACAGACTTGAGGGCACTTAACAACAACAATACAGATGGCAGGCAAAGCCTTTTCAGCTGTCAAAAGTATGCTTATCAGCAGTATCCCCCATAGCAGATATTGCATAAATGAATCATGCATTATCATTACTACATGCAAGTCGAAATTTGCTGAATATAATTCAAAAATGGTTGCAGCAATATATCCACAGGAACTGTCAGAAACTCAGGCCAGATTTAGAAAATGCCGTGGAACAAAGGATATTGTTGCTGATGTCATATGGATCTTAATTGAAAGCAGAATGATATTTACCTGTGTTTTATTGATTATACAAGGGTATGCATCTGTGTGTGTCATAGCAAATTATGGATAACATTGCAAAGAATAGGAATTCCAGGATACTTAATGGTGTTCTTAAGGAACCTTTACAAAGACCAAGAGTCAGTCATTTGAGCAGAACCAAGGGTATGCTGAATGGTTTAAAATCAGGAAAGGCGTGCACCAGGGTTGTATTCTTTCACCATACTTATTCCATCTGTACACTAAGCAAATCATCTGAGAAGCTGGATTACATTAAGAAGAACGTGCATCAGGATTGGAGGAAGACTTCATTAACAACCTGTGATACACAGATGACACAGTCTAGCTTGCTGAAAGTGAAAAGGACTTGAAGCACTTACTGATGAAGATCAAAGACTACAGCTTTCAGTATAGATTATATCTTAGCATAATGAACACAAAAATCTTCACAACTGGACCAATAAGCAACATCACAATAAACAGAAAAGATTGAAGTTTTCAAGGAATTCATTTTGCTTGCATCCGCAGTCAATGCCCATGAAAGCAGCAATCAAGAAATCAAATGATGTATTGCATTGGGCAACTCTTACTATAAAAGACCTCTTTAAAGTGTTAAAAACCAAAGATGTGACTTTGAGGACTAAGATCCAGACCATGGTATTTTCAGTTGCCTCATAAGCATGTGAAAGTTAGACAGTGAATAAGGAAGACCAAAGATTTGATGCTTTTGAATTATGGTGTTAGTGAAGAATTTTGAATATTTTGTTTTGTTCTGTTGACATAGGATCTCTATGAGTTGTATCCACCTGGACAGCACTAACAATAACAGCAGTCCCACAGGGGCTAGGCGGATAATACACATAAGTTATACAGACTGACTGATTGCTATGTTCATGCCTTGTATGAGAGCGGGGAAGGGGTAGTTAAGAGGGAACTGAAGAGTAAGGACTGTATAAATGGGTAGTCTCTCAGTTCCAGATGCTTTCATGTAAAAATGTAGATCCAGCACTAACAGAGCTCCAGATTTTTTTTTTTTCAATGAGAAACTTAAAATCTCTGATTTTAAATGTGATATCTCCAGATTTTAAAATGTTGATTGCCATTCAAAACTTAAAAAATATTGTGTGGGCTAAATAAAATGTGCCTGTGGCTCAAATGCAGACAAGCCACTGCCAGTCTACATCTCTGCTCTCCACTAGCCTACTGTGTGCCGTAAGAATTGCCAACCTTTTCCTGATGAAAACTTTTATCTGATTCTTCTGAACCAAGTGAGTTACCAGTTTTAGAGGATACCTATTAAAAACGTCATAAATGGTAATACTCATCTTTAATCTGTCTGGACCACAGGTAGATGTGTCCTCCTCTACTAGTTACGTGGGCATCACTCTTCCCCATGCCCTACATTCTTAGGAGGCCTCATCCTCCTACATCTGCCTTTCTCTCCCATAGCCCCAACTATCTGGAGAGGACTGACTTGCCCACACCTTGTGAAGTTCCTGGCTGTCCAGTGGGATGGGATGGTCAGTTGAAAGTGCTTTGAATGGTTTACGTGCTCCTGACTGGTCTTGGAGATCAGCCAGGAAGTGGCTTCGAGCTTATGATGTACTATTCTATTTCACTGTACTAGCGTAGTGGTTACGAATCGGGCTGTGAACCTTAAGGTCAGCGGTTCGAAACTACCAGCTGCTCCGCGGGAGAAAGATCAGGCTTTCTACTCCCGTAAAGATTTACACCCTCGGAAACCCTGTACAGGGTCGCTATGGGTTGGAACCGACTCGACAGCACTTAACAACAACAACAATCTGGAAAGAGAAGACAGATTCAGTAATGAGTGAGGATTTTGAAAGGAAAGAAGCAACCAAGGAGCAGAATAGCCTGGCCTTGGATGGGGAAATCAGTGCTATCCACCTGATATTAAAAAGCCCACTGCCATCAAATGGATTCTGACTCATAGCGACCCTGTATAGGGTTTGCAAGGATGTAAATTTTGTACAGCAAGGAGTGGGAAGTCTTATCTTTCTCTCACAGAGCAGTTGGTAGATTTGAACTGCCGACCTTTTAGTTAGCAGTCTAGTGCTTATCCTACAGTGACACCAGGGTCCTTATCCATTTAAGAAGCTCACTGCCATCAAGTTGATTCTGACTCACAGTGACTCTGTAGCGCCCCTGTATAGGACTTTGTTGTTGTTGGTTCCATGTTGTTGTTGGTGCCTATGGTTCCCATAGTGACCCTATGTATAGGGTTTCCTAGGAACAGTTGTAGTCAGAGTGACCTTGCAGTCCAGTGCATTATCCTGCAGCACCACTTAGGGGAGCAGATAGCTTCAACTTTTTCCCTGCAGAGCGACTGTCGAGTTTGAACTCCTGACCATGTGAATAACAGTCCAGTGCTTACCTTGTAGTGCCACCTGGACTCCTGTTGTTGTTGAGTGCTGTTGAGTTGGTTCCTACTCATTGCTTTAAACCACCAACCTTGAGGTTCAAACCGACCTTTCAGTCCAGTGCTTGTCATACTGCGCCACACCAGGACTTCACCTGTTGTTGTTAAGTGCTGTCGAGTCTGACCCATAGCGACCCTGTATAAGGTTTTCAAGGAGCGGCTGGTGAGCTTGAACCGCCGGCTTTGCGGTTCAAATGACTTTGCAGTCCAGTGCATTAATCCACAGTGCCACACTTGAGTCCTGTTGTTGTTATGTGCCGTGGAGTCTCAGAGACCCTGTACAGGGTTTCCGAGGCTGTAAATCTTTACAGGAGCAGAAAGCCTCTTTCTCCCGAGGAACAGCTGGTAGTTTCGAACTGCTGATCTTGTGTTCACAGCCCGATTCATAACCACTACGCTACCACAGTTCCTTCTTGGAGTCCTAGTAGGTTAATTAGAAAAAAAGAGCAAGTGCTTTCTATAGTTTCAAAGGAACAGACTTCACTGAAGTTCATATCAGTGACCACTAGGGGGCACTCAAAGACCCTAAATCAAGAACTCATCGTCTTTCCCCCCCATCCTTTAAAATGATTACTTTTTGTCTTTTCAGATAAATTTTTACTTAAATAAGAGTTGCAGAGCTCAAAGAATTCCTGTATACAATATATAGACTTTATCTGGGCTTTATCAGTTTTTCCACCAGTATCCCTTTTCAGCTCCAGGATGCAATCTAGGAGCCCACATTGATTGCATTTAGTTATCATGCTTCCTGTTCTCTTCTAGTCTGTGACCATTCCACAGTCTTAACAGTATTTTTCATGACCTTTGAAGAAGTCTGACCAGGTATTTTGTAAAATGTCTCTCAGTTTTGATTTGTCTGATGTTTTCTCATGGTTAGAATTAGGTTATACATTTTGGC